ATGACCCGTTGAATTCATTTTGGGAGCGATGACTGATTAAATGTATTTTTAGTCCAGTGCCTGTATATAAGATTAGTATTGACATTAGTCATATGAGGATTAACCATGTTGTGTATTTTCAACAGTTTCAATATGAAAAAGAACTTTTATATTGATTCAGTGGATTTATTGCATTTTGGAAAAAGAAAAAAAAAACGTGTCATGAATTTATTTTTGGGAAAAAAATTATAAAATTTTATAATAAATCTTTGAAAATCAAAATCTGGATTTGAATTTTTAATGTTATTATAACCTAAAGATGCTATGTGAAAGTTTGAAACAGAAAATAATGGTTTTCATCTTGCCACTTTCTTGGTAAAGAAAACAGATTTTTACTCAAATTAATCAAAATGGATTTATAGCATTTTGGAACCAAACTCTTCATATAGACTTTAGGTATGTACCTTTAAGGTACTTATATGCACCCTTTAGGGATAAATAGGGTACAGAGGTGTAACTTTTGAAAAGGTATCGCCCCAGTGACAGCATTTGTACCTTTTTTTCTGAGAGTAAAACATAATAACATTACTTTGTGCATTTAAAAGTGAAATGTGTTGTTGCTCAATATATTGCATGGTACATCTTCAATATATTGCATAGTACAAAATCCCATAGTTCAAACAGTAGAGCATGGCGCTAGCAACACCAATGTAATGGGTTTTATGCCCAAAGAATGCATGAACTGATAAACTATATACCTTGAATGCAATGTTAGTCGATTTGGATAAAAGCGTCTGCCAAACGCATAATTGCAAAACTGCCATTTTAGTGGCTTGGCCTTTTGTTTTTAAAGATTTATAAATCAAATCTTTATGTTTATTAACATGTTCGGTCAAAAATTATGCTTCAACATATGAGCCTACAGTATATGGTGTCCTATATAGGTTTGAATTTTAGATAAAGTTTGTCATTACATAAAGAAGTACAGCCTGAGTTGTCTATACACTCAGTCTGAAGGCGAGGTTGGTTTTAGTAGAAATCGACTGGAGGTATTTGTCTTAGAACTTTAAATGGACCACTAAATCAAAGACTTTGCTTCTTTGATGGATACTTCAAATGGAGATCCCTTGTGGACAACCAAACCATCTGGCCTGATTGGAGTTGCTTGATGGTGATGGTTTGCTTGGATCTTCTGACTAAGAACAGCTTGCTGCAGTTGGATATATGCTGCCTCCCAAATCTGTTGGCTTTATCAATATTCGTTAACACAGATGATTAACTGGGCTGGGTGAAAAGAGGGGACCATATCCCAGGAGTTAACATAAACTGATTCATCTCATGTCATAGCAAGTGGAGTGTCAGATTTGGAAAGTTGGTGCTAATAAGAGTTTTTTCCCCCCGTTGTTGGTCGTGAGTCATCATTCTCTCACCAGTTTCACTACTGATGCTAAAAAGACCAGCTTAGAGTGATTTTCAGTGCTAGTCAAAGTTGGTTTATGCTAATCTAGCTAATGGACCAGCACAACCATAATGTTCACCAGCAAAATTAAGTGGCAAAATTTGTCAGCCAACTTAGTCTCAGTGGTGATGCTACTTGACCAAATATATCTTGCTGGCTAAGCTAGTTAGGAATCTGTGTTTAAACAGTTTAGTCACAAAGCCTCAAGTGTAGGTGCTAACAATGCTAACATTCAGTCAGTAGGGTGTATGAATATCTAAAATGGACTAGGTGGAAAAACAGTGTCCAAAACAAAAATACCCATTGATTTTAATACGTTTATGAAACAACATAGTGTAGATACATTAACTATCTATACATTAACTATCCAGTAGAAAATTGCTAGTAGTACATACAGTATTAGATTTTTTTTTAGGTAATATCCCACTAATACGCTTTGAAATGTTATAGTAGGTTAAGCTGGCTCATTGTACTGTAAATTAGTCATAGTAATATAAGTCATAGTAAATTAGGTTGTTCTAAGTCCAAATGTATAGATAATTTTCTATAATTTGTACTGTATATTTAGCATATATACACTAACATTATTCAAGTTTGAGGTCAGTAAGTTTTTTTTATGAATTTTTTTATTCAGCAAGGATGCATTAAATTGATCAAAAGTGACAGTAAAACATTAATAATGTTACAAAAGATTTCTATATAATAATAATAATAATAATAATCTAATAAATGCTGTTCTATTGAACCTTCTATTCATCATCAAAGAATCCTGAAAAAAGGTATCACAGTTTCCACAAAAACATATAGCAGCTCAACTGTTTTCAACATTGATATACAGTATATATATGTATATATATATATATATATATATGCATATTAATATGTATATATTTCACAATAGTACTGTTTTACTGTATTTTGATCAAATAAATGCAGTTGGCCAGCGTAAAAGACTTCTTTCAAAAACACTTAAAGATCTAACAGTGCCTAAATTTAGCATGTAGTGTGTTCAAAATACACTTACTTATATTGTGCCTGGAAGTGCTCTTGTACAAAGCTGTGACGTACACCAGGCTGTGTCTGTGGTGGGGTCAGGGTATCAGAGACGGGCTTTTCATCACCTCCTTCTTGGCCCTGCAACAAAAACAAAAATGTCATGTAGACTTTTAGATAGATGGAGCCTTACTGGCCACACTTTCCAGGAAGTGATAATGAGAATATTAACCTGATTTCTGCCTCACAGAGTGGGCCAATATTGCACTCTCATTCTTAGAGTTTGTTTGAAGTTTTATACTGGCAGTAGTGAACTTGACAACAGCTAAAAAAAAGACAGGAGGATAAAACCCACAGGGAGAGCTGATACACACTTTTCAAGGTCAAAAACAAGATAGAGATGGTAGAGACCGTATGCCTACTACAGCTTAGGATTTTATGTCAGAGAAAGAGAGAGAGAGAGGAAGGTATAAAAACTATGGAACCATATAGGTAGCAAAATACAATATGCAACATGGCAATGCAATATTCAAAATGGCAACACAATATTCAAAATGGCAATGTATTTCTTTATTTAAATTTACATTTTACATTACCCATATGTGCAAAGTTTGGTGCAAAAGGAAAATGAAAATCTAATTATATAATTTACATTTGCCATTTCCAACAGTAGTCTTAAAGGAGTAGTTCACTTCCAGATTGAAAATTCTGTCATCATTTACTCACCCTCCACTTGTTCCAAACCTGTATGAGTTTCTTTCTTCTGTTGAACACAAACAAAGATATTTTGAAAGATGTTGGTATCCGAACAGCTGATGAACACAATTGACTTCCATAGTATTTTTTTTCCTACTATGGAAGTCAATGGTGCTCATCAACTGTTTGGATACCAACATTTTTCAAAATATCTTTGTTTGTGTTCAACAGAAGAAAGAAACTCATACAGGTTTGGAACAAGTGGAGGGTGAGTAAATGATGACAGAATTTTCAATCTGGAAGTGAACTACTCCTTTAAGACTACTGTTGGAAATGGCAAATGTAAATTATATAATTAGATTTTCATTTTCCTTTTGCACCAAACTTTGCACATGGGTAATGGAAAATGCCAATTTAAATACAGAAATACAAAGTTGGAACTGCCCCACTTTATAGAACAGCCTTTGAGCACAGACCCATTGTATGATACTCTGCAGGTTCAGGAAACAGTCTTCCATAAAATGCGTCACACACAGCGGGCTAGAGTGAGCAGAGGCGGGCGGGCTTGAGAATGACGCGGCCGGCGGATTCGATGAAGGAGCGGCCAGCGGGCGTGAGGTAACCACATGTGACGACCCCGGGCTGGACTCCGCTTTGTCCACGGTGAAAGCCGATCCGGCGATCCACAGCACGAAGTTGATGTATTTCCTCAGCGACCAGCACGGATCAGCTCTAGGCATGACGAAGCGGATATCGTCCTCTTTTGGAAGGCTAAACAAAGTAGTTTCACTTTCACAACGAAACACAGCGGCTTTAGGACATGGCAGCAGCAACAATACTACAGCGAGAATAAAAGTTATGCCTTCTTTTTTTGCGTGAACATTTGGGCGGCGTTATACAAATCTTCCCACATCGTGACATAGGTATGTGGGGGCGTGTTAGAACGAGCCGTTTTAGGTAGGTGTGGTTGACTCTTAACTAATCTTAAATATCTCTTTGGATTTGAGACTTTAGTCTTTGCAACTTTACAGATCTTCTTTATGCACCAAGAGCTTGTAACACTCCAAAGAAAAAGGAAAAATTGAAATCGCATCATATGACCCCTTTAACAATTTTACACACCTTCTACCATCTGTTTTAGAGTATGATAATCGAATATAACCAAGATCTGAGGACTTTTAACCACAGCCAGACAACAACTTGGATGCATTATTGATATTATGATTATTGAAATCTTCATTTAAACTTTTATTCTTCTATACTGGACAATCTAATAAATTTATATATTTAATTAATAAATAATATAATCCAATTAATTACACAATGTGGTGATTAATTTAATTAATTGCAAATTCACACATCAAATAGATATTACAAAAAGTAGCTTTAGAGAGAAATAGCCTATTTTATTTTATTTAGAATGTATTACTTTATTACTTATTTAGATATACAGACCATTTATTGCAGCTCAGAGGTAGCATGAATGCATTTACACTGAAATTATAATTGCATTAATATAATAACTATACTGTGTCTAAAATACAACACAACATTAACTTCTTATTTATTGAACTATTACATAAAATCAATAACATCATTTTTCAGGACAAAAACAACACTCATGTGATACTGCACTCATTGCTTATGTCACATTGTTCAACTACAGTATATCATATGCTATAAGTATGAGACAAAATCTCTTGAATATTAGGGACATAAAACTGAATTCTATAGGCTACATCAAGTAGTGAGATGTTGCCCTGCATCATGTTCGTCACCAACTGTGTGAAATGCCAGATGATCTACGTAGATCTAATATGTTAGATTTCTTACATGTATATTTATATTTCTGACTTATTTTATGTTGTTTTTATGGCCATTGGTTTAGCTTTTTAATGATTTAATATAAAGAAGTAGGTCAAGGCTCTGTCAAACTTAAATCTGTAAATATCCCTTTAAAAGCAGCTTAAGCAAAATACTTTGAAGCATATTGTCCTTATCAAAGCTTTGCTGTTTGATTCAGTTGGTTGGCTCTTTTCAAAGGAGTCTGGCAAAGCAAAATGTGAGAAAGACCCTCCCCACAATTCCTCGCTGTCAGCTGAGTCACGTCTGCCCCCTCACTGGCAATCTGAAAGCTTTGGAAATTTACGGTTAGAAAGTTGTTTTACATGCAAGAAACTAGAGACACAGCAAAGTACTGACTAGAAAGTCCATTTTGACTATAGTGTATAATGGAAACTTTACCTTTGATAATACACCACCCAAGAGTTCAAATAAAAGGGAGAGTTCCTTCACCTCCTTTCTTTGACCCAATAACGTGCTGTCTTTATCGTCTCCCTTTTCTATGTCGCTTAAATAGCCACTCTTGGTTTTAATACCACTACCTGTTTTTCTCTCTTTCACTCTTTTTTAATGCTCTAGTCTACTTAATACTCCTTAACTAATAATTAGAGCCTTGCGTTTTGTACAGAACGGTACTCCAGAGCACAAAGAGGTACAAATCCTCTTTTCTCTTTCTAAAGGCTTGAGATTCAGTGGTGTCATTGGTGTAATTGCAGAACTTGTGAGTCTAGTAGTTTTTAGAGTTGAAAAAAGAGCTGTGTTGGGAAGTACCTAAATAAAAGTGCTGCTACACTCTTAGAAAACAAGGTACAAAAGCTGTCACTGGGGTGGGACCTTCTCAAAAGGTACACTTTTGTACCTTTTAGGTACTAATATGTAGCTTTAAGGTACCATGGACATATGGACACAAGTACAAAGGTGTACCTTTTGAAAATATGTTGCACATTTTTCAGTAGCATAGCTTTTCCAAAAACAAAAAGTGTCGAAAAAAGTGTTTTTGGAGTGTCGCTTTACAAAATGCCTTTTAAAGATATATTGTGTTGCACCTGTAACTTTAGATATGAGCTAAGTAAAGTAATAGTCAGTGTTGGGGATAACGCATTACAAGTAGCACAAGTTATGTAATCAGATTACTTTTTTCAAGTAACATGTAAAGTAACACATTACTTTTTAAATTGACAAGAAAATATCTAAGTTACTTATTTAAAGTGCCCCTATTATGCCTTTTCGAATATTACCTTTCTTGCAGTGTGTCATGTAGCTGTATGTGAACATAAACTATCTGCAAAGCTGTGAAGCCGACAGTGCACGATAAATAAAGTTATTGTCTATCAAAAAAATGAGTCGGCTCGCAATCGCCTAAACGAGTCGTCAGGAATTCAAATCTTATTCTGTTACGGCTCTACGTCATGAAGTAACACATTTGCATAATGTCTGCCTACGCTGTGAGAGTAAATTTGTTTTATCACATCTTATAATTACCACAAACTTGTTAACACTTGACACTTAACCAATGAGAAACGTCCTGCTCCAGTCGTGCTTGCGAATCAGTCTCTTGTCGATCAGCCAGTTCAACCGTTTCATCATCAGACTCCGGCTCGGATTGGTAAGGTACAATTGATACCATCTTTTCCATGTATTGACCTGTCCTCCAGAGCTGTCATGGCAATGGGCGTTTCGTTTCCGACATGCACTGTACACGGTAGACCAATCCAGAGCCAATCTCTCTACGGCTCTGGACCAATCACAAAGGACTGCGCCATCTGACCAATCACAGCAGTGAGGGCTCAGGGAAAGGAGGGGTTTAGAGAGACTGATTCTTTGAACTCCTTCGCACGAGTCGTTTACGAATCATTTAGAAATGAGGTCAAATTAAATCTATTTTTTAGAAAACTAACGAGTTTTTTGACCTTGCATGCATATAAACCTGTTTTAGAAGACTCATAAAACAATATTAGCAACCTTAAAAATGGCATAATAGGGGCACTTTAAATAAGTAACAGCAGTCACTTCGTTTTCCCATGTATTGACTGAGAGCTCTCCTGTCTCCATGTTGAGAGTAATTGTGAGGAAGTGCAGAGGGTTGTGTGCGCTGTGTAAACATGATGCTTACTGCAGTTCTAGACTAAATGTCAGCATCCATTTATTCATCTCACTCGCGCAAAAACAGATTCAGTATTCCTCAAAATGAATAAAAACAGTGAAATACAAACTCAGAATATGACGCAAACCTGCAATAATTAGCCTAAATGCGTTAAATAGCACAAATATCCATTATGTATTTAATCCCATTTTATTAACCACTGTCTTTGCTGCTGACCTTAGATGATCAAATTCAACCATACCAATAAGCAAAAATTACTTTAGATAAACTTTTTTTTTTTTTTTGCTTTGTTTACTGCTGACGAGTATTGAACTTTCTTCTCTTGCGTCATGTTCTTCATGCAATTCAGAATGGCAGCACAGCTGAAAGGTTTGTTTGAGCTGTGCCCTCTTCTCTACAGACATACATTTGCATTTCCTTCAGCCTGAGGCTTATTCATTTCACTTTTGGTGTGAAACATTTTAGTGAAATGATCAGATTCATTCTATTCTGATTAATT